ATATATATACATATAACAAATGTATTCTGAGTGGATAATAGATTTTAATTTGGAAATATGAACAAACAACACTCTTTTTTGCACTAATTTATTAAATAATAATAATTTTCACAAACGTTTCTAAACTAGGTTTGTCTCATCATCAGTGTGTTATAATTTAAAATCTAAAATATGGAAACCTAAATTAGCATTATGTGTTATCCGTTACAAGTCGTTGGTGGGGCAGAAGACAGTATATTGAACGACTTGTAACGGATAACACATAATGCTAATTTAGGTTTCGTTTTCTTTAATAGCATGGAAATAATTTTGAAAATTAAAAAAAAAAAATTTAGGTATAACTTAGCGACAAATGAATGAAAAGTGAAAATTCGTGTCATTTTCATTGAAAATTCGACGCTCTGCAAAATTTTTGAAAAATTTTTCATGCTATTTCCATACAAAACTTTGATTGAATTGTCCTCTATCTAAAAGACAATATTAAGAGCTAAAACTTTCAGAGAATTGTTTTTTTTTTCAATTTGGAACCTTTTGAGCCCTTGGGTGCAAGGAAATTCGAAAATGTCCATATTAAGGACCACCCCAAAATATATAAATATATATATACATATTTATACTAGCTGTCCCGGCATACTTAGTTTAGTAATATAGAATATTTCTAGATAAAATGTAGTTATAAATTAAAAATACAATTGGTCCCAAAATTCAGATAAATTAAATCATTGGTCAAGTGTTAGGGGTGGGCAACACTTTCTTTTTGCATAGTTTTATTGCCAATCAAAATAATATACATTTTTAAGACAATATGCTGGGTGTAAATGTAATTCAAAAATAAGCTTTTTTGAAGTTAAATTTAAGTTTTTCCTTAAGTTTGAAACATTCTTCCAAATCCAGTGTTTTTTCACTGAAAGCTGAAAGGATTTTATTGAATATTTTATTTTTTATAATTTTATTGAAATGATAGTTCCCATTAGCTGAAAGGACATCATATAAATCATACGATTACTAACAAGATTATTACGAAATAATAATGTGTGCTAGTAGGGTGAAAATTTAGGGTTGTACGTGCTTTTTCAGTACTAATTATAAAGAAATAAAATAAAAAAATGTCGAAAAAATTAAAAAAAAAATTTAAGGGCGGCCAAATATTACCCCTAATTGATATGAAAAAAAAAGATGTTGTCCGATTTTCAGTCATACTGAGCGTGGATAAAGAATTTAATAAAAATCGGTAAGAACGTTTCTGAAGATATATATATATATATATATATATATATATATATATATATATATATGCATGTATGAATATAAGACAAATTTTTGCTAGAAAGTGCACGCCAAGACTTGTTGAGACAGGTCAAAGTAGACTGATTGAATTATTCCTGAATTAATCATCAATGGTGACGAAACGTTTTGTAAAAAAACATCATTCACTAACAAGAATCCATACAATATATATGTATATATTTATATATATATATATATATATATATATATATATAAATTAGTATGTGTCTCTGTCGTAGTCGTTTCATGAATGAAATTCTATCAGGTAACTGCGATGGTAATCTGTCGTGTTTATTCTCGGAATCTTCAAATCCCCAAGAATGCGTCAATTTTCGAATGAAAAATATTACGCGAAAATATTTACATATAAAATCTAGAGACATGTACTTGAGACACATCTACTTTTTTTAATTCGCCCCTGAAGAAGAAATCAAATGTAGGGATTATTGAAAATTAGGGCTCTATAGATCTGTTGGAGACTCTTAATCTATAAATCGTTATATATAAAAATCCTTAAAATATCAATCACATGATTATTGGACGCCACCTAAATATAAATTTAATCTTGGATAAGATTTTCAGAAATTGTTACAAGTTTATATCAAAGTGTGCCATGGCAATTGTTCATTTTTCAAACAATTGATAGTTATATATTTTTGAAATGTTTATACACGTGATTGCTTAATTTCAAGAATTATTTTTGTTTAAATATTAGATATTTAGAAACTTTTCGATTTTTTCTCACACTGAAACAAGTTTTGTAAGTATATTTTATTTCAACATTTATTAAAAAATGTTAATAAAATTAACAGCACTAAAATGCCATAATAAAACTTTTTAGCAAAAAATTGTCTTGATGGTATTATTTTATGCACTTAGCCAACTGTACTATTGCTAGAACATTCTTAAAACTACTATACTATTATTGTTTCTATTAATACTTATTTGGTATAATAAAAATATGAAAAAATTTCCATGGTTTCATTCTAAAGTGACAAAATGATTGTTTGATGATTTATAATAGAAAAATGTTCATTTATGCATAAATTTTTGTTAGCATTTTATACAAAAAATATTATCTTTATTATTTCTAACTAAAATAAATTTTTAACATATTTACACAAAATGTTACACAAATGTAGTAAATCTTATTTAGGCAATACTTTTTTGATAATTTTGTTCTAATTGTTATTGAATTTTTAACGGCAACTTTTAGACTGATATATAGGCATTTCAATAATACAATTTTAAAATATATATATCTTAATAAACTTTATAAAAAAATATCAAAACTTGTACCGCGATATTGGGGACTAAAAATAATTTAACAATTAGTTTATGAATAAAATAACGATAATGATAATATATAACCATGATTAGCAAAAACACAAAAAACACAAATAAAATCAAAAATAAGATATAATTTTAGTATATAATAAGTATATATTAAAAAAAATGTTAGTACATTGAAACACACATTGTGTTGATGATAATATAAAAATATATTTTCTCACTATTTTCTCTCATTTTTTTGGAAATCGGAAAAATGTTTAAAATTATTTAAACTAATACAAGAACATATATATATACATACATACAAGAATATATATATATATATATATATATATATATATATATATTTATATATCTATATATCTATACATGTATAGAGATAGGTGAATTAAATATTTTTTATAATTTTATTGAAATGATAGTTCCCATGAAACAATGGACGTATCAAAATCGCATCAAGTCTAAAACTATTGTCTTTTCCATCTTCATAACTGTATTTAATATTATATATATATATATATATATATATATATATACATTTAGACACATTTATAAAAATAATAATAGTACCCTCGGTGTCGAAATTTTAAGTCAACAGCCAAATGTGTTAAAATAATTGTTTTGCCAAAATGAGAACAGAAAGGGGCATTCTGAGGCGCTCCATTATAAATCCCAAGTATATTATAAAATCAGTGTTTTATTATTTTTTTTTTTTAAATTTAAATAATCGCCTTTTGAGTGCACTTTTCCATTTTTCCACTTTTCCATTGTGTCGGGTGCATGTCGGTTGCATCACCTATTCTTTCTTGCATTTGCATTATTATCCACGTAACCGTATTATGCATTCATTTATTTATTCATTTATTTATTTATTCATTTATTCATTCAAACAGACCTTAAAAAGATGCAACTTGGCACGAGATTGGGCAGAGGTTCTCAAACCGAGGGCCGGAAAACATTACTATTTACTTAACCCAATACGAGAGTCTCATTAATAATAAAGTTGATAAAGTCAAAATTGTTAAAAAAAACTAGGTGTATATGGAATTTTCGATATGCCTAAAAAATATTATTTGACTCATTCATACAATTTTTATGAATTTTTATAATTAAACCATATTTTTTAGGCCTATAATATTTTTGTATGTTCTTTTTAAGACAATGAACCCTGTTTCTAGCAAAGTTTTATTTATTTCAAAGAAACTGCTCGGCCGATCTTTGCCAAAAACTCATCAGCACGATTCCCAACTTATGCCTTTCAGATTGTTTTTGAATTTTTAAAATAGACACAGGAATTATAATGAACTCTTTTTTACTAATCTGTGAAAACTTCTTTTTAATATTTTGAACTTTGAAATAATTTTCACTCGGGACTTTTTGTCTAAAAATTTAATTGGGATTATTTAAATTTAAACAATTTGCATAATTGGCAAATATGAATTCATATAATTAGCAAAAGTATAGTTACTTACTTAAAAATAAACATTTGTCTTTTTAAAAATTTAGTATATTTAGTATCTCTTCAGAACGTCTTCAGAAGTACAAGTTTGAACTTTTCTGCTAATTTTAAAGAAACGGTTCGACTGATTATCGTACAAATTTCTTACACAAGCTAACTATTCCTTAACACAAGTCTTTTCATGTTTCATCAAATGGCATAAAAATTTTTGAATTCGGTTCAGCAATTTTTAAAAAATGCATCCTTTCAAATAAATTTTTTGAATTTTTTTGATTTTTTTTTGTATTATGATATAACAACTTATATTGTAATGTAATAATTAAATACTATATGCATATATTTATTAATTTTTTTTAATTTTGATTTTTGTGTGAACCAAGTAGGGGTCCCTCCCGGGTCCCCGTTCGGCATGACGTGAAATAATTTTCTTTTATTTAATTTGAATTGTTAATTGTCTATGTGATTGTGATTGTTCTTTTTAATTGTTCTAAGAGATATGAACCGTGGGACTCTGAAAATATTCAATTTAGAAGAATAATGGACGGACGGATAATACGGTTTCTACACGGGGCACGAATATTATTATATTTGATATTAGACATATGTAGATATATACATATATGTAGATATATACATATATGTATATAAGGGTGGTCCTTAATATGGACATTTTTTAATTTTTTTGCTCTCAAGGGCTCAAATGGTTCCAAATTGATAAAAAACCATTCTGAAAGTTTTAGCTCTTAATATTGTCTTTTAGATAGAGCGCAATTCAATCAAACTTCGTATGGAAATAGCATGAAAGAAATTTTGAAAATAAAAAAAATTTTTAGGTATAACTTAGTGTCAAGGAAATTCGAAAATGTCCATATTAAGGACCACCCTAATATACATACATATATATATATATATATATATATATATATAATATATATTTCAATAATTATTTATCTTTTTTCAGATGAGCGGTAAGAGAACACTCAGCTTCAAGTGCGCAGTGCATCACAGAGAATACGGCCCTGTTTTGGGCCCTCCGAAAGGATTATTCAAAAGGTAAATTTATCACATCCCACATACATATTTCACTCAAAACAAGTTTTCCCGCAACTGGGTGCTCTTGCAAATCCACCCCAGGTCATAAAGAGGCGCCACAGATACTAGACGCAATTTCCGTCAATTCCAACCCTCCACTTTCGGGGGCGAACAACGCGATTGCAGAATATAATTAAAGTGGTGGTGCCCCCTTTCCGAACATAAATTCGTACTCCTAAAAATAATATACTAAATAATTAAGCGCTAAGTGTCGTTTTCCCAAGGATGTCTCTCTGATCCCGTCGACAGATGTAAGATTTGACGCTTGATAAATACCGGCGCGAGCAGCACTTTGCCGTCCATTTACTGTATTTATTTTATTTTCCGACTTTTTCAGTTTATTTCGGTCCGATTTTGGCACGAGGATTGAAAAGTGACATTGCTCGTCTAGACACACCACCATTTCATTGCCAGTTTTAAATAGAAACTCTTAAGGAAAAAAGAGAATATGTACTTGTTGGGTATGGTAATCGACCTCTTTATTTTAGCAGGTACTTAGATTTTCCTTATTTTTCCGCGAGGATAGAAAAGTGTCATTGCTCGTCTAGACACGCCAGTTTTAAATAGAAACTTCTAAAGTAAATAGAAATTCTACTGGTCTGGTATGGTAATCGACCTTTTTATTTAGCAGATACTTAGATTGTCCTTATTTTTAACGAGGATTGAGGAAAGTGAAATTGTACTTCTAGACACACCACCGTTTCATTGCCAGCTTTAAATAGAAATCTTTTTGGGAAAACTAAGAAACTATGCTGGTCTTGTATGGCAATCGACCTCTTCCTTTTAGCAGATACTTAGGTTTTTCTTGATTTTTGACGAGGATTAGGAAATGTGACATTGCTCGTCTAGATACCATGATTTCATTGCCCATTTTAAATAGAAACTCTAAAGAAAAAAGAGAATTTGTACTGGTCTGGTATGGTAATCGACCTCTTTATTTTAGCAGATACTTAGATTTTTCTTATTTTTCCGCGAGGATTGAAAAGTGACATTGTACGTCTAGACACCACCATTTTATTGCCTTTAAGAAGTTGACTCAGTCTTAAATAGAAACTTTCAAGGATAAAAGGAAATTTGTACTCGACTGATAGACGATCTGTTAATTTAGTAAATTGTTTTTTTTTACAAAGGACTCTATTACAAAGATGAAAAAGTGATATCTCACCTTCAGATACATGCATCATTGTATTTTTCACGTCGACGTTCACATTTCAGTTTTTAAAAAATTTCCAAATTTCAAAGTTTTTGTAAAATATTTATCAATATTTTCAAAGTAGCAATTTTTTCATTAGGTTTTCTCAAAAAAATCTAATTTTTTATTTCTGAACTACCGCTAGTTATTTCTTACTTTGTGCTTTTTTAAGTTTATTGTGGTCTAATTTTGTGTAAAGGAGTAAAAAGTGTCATTGTCCATTTTGGCACATTCTGTTTTTTTTCTTTTAGAAAAACAAGAAACTGCGCTTGTCATGTATACAAGCTTATCATGTTCAAAAAGTACCCGGAATTTTCGTTTTTTCAAAAAAATATTTATTTATTCGTCTACATTAATGTGGTCCCCTTCAAAGTAGTCCCCCCCAGATATAATACACTTATGCCAGCGTTTTTTCCAATTTTCGAAGCACACGGAGCCATATCTGGTGAATTTTTGCACTTTGCAACACTTTATTTCATTTTTTACGCAAAATTTAATACAAATTCTTTGACTTTTCAATTCTTCCATTGTAAAAATCGCCGAGCTCAGAAAAACACGTCGAACCTTAGCGACTACCACAGACAAAGTAAACAGTGAATATAGCTGAAAATTTCATCATACTTTAGGGGCATGTATACCAACACAATAAAAAAAATTTTGACAATCAGACACTCCAGACCCGCGAAATTTAATTATTAGTAATTCCGGGTACTTTTTGAACACACCTCGTAGTAATCGATTTATTTTCCATAATTGCCTTTATTCTGTTGTTAAATAGAAATTCTTAAGTAAAAAGGGGAAAATTATGCTGAGGTGGTAATCGACCTTTCAATTTAGCAGATACTTGGATTTACCTTGTTTTTCTCTCTTTAACTTTTTTCTACTAATTTTGAAACCAGGATTTAAAAATGACATTGATCGTTTAGACATTGTCCATAATGACTTATTTTAGTTTTAAATAGAAATTCTTTGGGCAAAAGGTCTGGTGATAGACCTTCTATTTTAGTAGATATTTAGATTCATCAATTTCTAATTTATCCTGTTTTCTATATTTTATATTGTTCACATTAACACGTTCCGGTCTTAAATAAAATCCGTTTGGAAAATTTAACCGATACTTGGATTTACCTTATTTTCCAGCATTTTAAGTCTAATCTGGTCTAATTTTGGCACGATAAGAAAAGTAGAAATAATACTGGGTTAATAAAATCGTCCTTTTTTAATTTACTAAATATTCAGATTCACTTGTATTTAAATCCAAATATTTTGTGGGCAGGATGTACAATAGTAATTCATCAGATACTTAAATTTACTTTATTTTCCACCATTTTAAGTCTCTATTTCTATAATACAACAAGTGATGTTTTGATTCAAATTTGCCCAAATAAGGAATTTGGTTTATGGCCAGGATGTACATTGGTGGTTTACTAGACAATCTGCTTTTATCACCAGATTTTCCTTATATTAATTATTTTTATTTTTATCCAGGATGGTGCACATGGTAGCGATCGAAGTATTGCCTGATGAGCGCGATCGGAAGTATTACGCGGACAGGTACACGTGCTGCCCTCCACCACTGTTCCTGATACTAATTACCTTAGTAGAGGTGAGTCATGAAGTCAAACTTCTTTACGCATAAAATAAAATCATATCTTCTATATGTATAAAAATAAATCGGGTTTTCCTTTCTGACGAAATAACTCCAGAACGCACAAACCGATTTCGACAATTTTGCATTCGTTGGAAAAATTGCTGGAACTTCACGCACCGCAATTGAAAATTCGAGTAATGAAAATAAGCAACAATTGTTTTAAATAATTTCAAATAGATTATCTACATATATATAAAAATAAGTCGGTTTTTCCTTCCTGACGATATAACTCTAGAATACACAAACCGATTTCGACAATTTTGCATTCGTTGGAAAGGTCTCGGGCTCCGCAAGGTTTATAGCTAAGAAAATTAGTTGTGCATGGCATCGTGCCACAATGCAAGCTACTGGAACTTTACGCACCGTAATTAAAAATTCGAGTAATGACATTAGTGAGAATTATCAGAATTATGCTTGGTTAAGTCAACGAGCAATTTTTGCCGTAAAGAATAATGATGTACACGCACTGAATTTCACCATTCAATCAAAAATTGCTGGCGATTTGGTGACATACCAATGATTCCGACTGGTCTTCCGTTTGACTTCAAACGATTGCAATTTCCAGTTCGCTTTGCGTTTGCAATAACAAGTCTCAAGGCCAATTGCTTAGTGTTTGCGGGATAAATTTCAAATAGATTATTTAGAAAATCATTGTTTTTCACATGGGCTATTATACGTTGCCTGTTCACGAGTTGGAAAACCATCCGCTTTGTTTGTGTTAACTTCAGACCAAAAAACAAAGAATGTGGTTTACCAAAAAGCACTTCAATAAAACGGATAATTAGTGGATTCACTTTCATTTACTTAGAGAAGTTCAACTAAAAAGCACTTCGTTTTTGTAATCGAAATAAATTCATTACTGTTGTATAATAAAATCAAATTTTTCCTTTTCAAATATAAAACAAACAAAAAATTTCTTCATCTTCCTCACGAAACCATCTGGTGGCGAAACGAAGTTTGTCGGGTTTGCTAGTTTCTTATATAAAAGACTATGATTATAAGTTATTAGTTTATTCGTAATACATTTTTATGCATCAATATAATTTTTATCTTTTATTATTTTTTCCCTGAAAAATCGCTCCATCATCGAACATTAATAAAAGAAATTCCTGAAAGTCGTCGTAGCGGATCGCCCTAACGCCCTAACCCATCTTATTATTCTTTTCTGTGTCTCGTATTACTTCAATGGTGGAAGCGAAGTGAAGCCCCGAAGTCTTGAGGGGGCTCGAGGGGCCCCCCAGTCCGAAATGAAAAGCTAAATATGAAAATAATCAATACTCGTATTGTATATAGTAACAACACGAACACGAACATTTCTTATCAGCAAGTCGGGAAATGTTAATGGCCTCTGGTCACGACAGGGAAAATGGAAAATTTAAGGTGCGATTGTTATTTATGAGATTTTTTGACCCAAATAGTAAATTACACTCGCTAAAATTATATTAACTAAAAACGAGTAATTTTGTTACCATTTACTATTTCTGGTGTATTTCTGTTTCGACGTTTGTAAGTGAATTTATTTCGGGATTTGTAAGTAAATTAGAGAGATCTGTTTAAAGTCACATTAGTTAGTATTTTTTTTTCTGATGAAACACGGTTAACGATCCTGTTCTTCGTCTGAATGAATACACTAAATACCTAAAATTCTATTTTTGGAAAATGAGAATACGTATACACACTAATTACACTAAAAGCTGGAAAACGCGGTTAATAAGAAATAATAGATTCTGTAAGAAATAAATACGTTAAATTAATGGTTTCATTATAGTTTTGCAAGATAGTTATAATAATCTAAAATAATATTTTCTTGCAAAACTTACATACAAATAGCTAAATAATCTAAAATATAGGCAACGAAAAATAAAAATAAAATGAATGCAAACGCCATTTGGAAGAATTTGCTTTTTCTAACTCCAATTACCCTCTCTAAATATTTCAAAAGTAAACCTTCAACTATTTATATATAACTAGATGCTCGTTTTCCTCCCCTTTCGAAATTGGATCCACTTTTTCCAAGATTTATGTCAGTCGAATGCTCCCCGAAACGAATGGAAATGGTTTTAGGTGTCTCTTAAGGGGGCTCAGCAGGATCACCCATACATAAATCAGGGGACAGGACGTAGTCTTTGTCTATAAATACATTTTTCAGACCTTGCTGACTGTACATTTTGAATTTCTTATGGTGATATCGATTCTGCTGATTGTGTTCGATAAATAATTTATATAAATACATATATGTATCCATATATATGTACTCCATAGATAATATAAACAAATGGAGCTGTATCTTCTTTGAGCATTAACTGTTTACATTTCGAAATCCACGTAAACAAAATCAATTTTATAAAGTGTTATACATATACACATTTTTTATATATATATATAAGTATATTATATATACTCGTACATAACATAAGTGTGTGTATGTTCTAAGAAATTCAAGTTGATGTCAATCACCACTTACTCAATATAATTCCCAAAAATATATCTTGAACTAAATGAAATTCATTAGAAAAAAATCGATTAGATAATATATATTCGAATCGAGCAGATAATCTGTTTTAATCTTTATTTAATAAACTAATATAAAAAACTAAAAATATATCTAACAAATACTAATATATGAATTGATTTTGCAAGGAGTTAATGAGAAAATTATATAGAACAAATAAATTTGGCGCCTTTTTTATATTTTCTGTGTATGTTGTAGATCATTTAGCAATTTCTATGTATGTAAATATATTGAAATAAATATTGAACTAGCTGTAAGTGGAATTCTGTCTTGAGGCAATTATGGCATCGTGCCTTAAGGCAAATTGCTGGAACTTCCCGTACCGTAACGAAATGTTCGTGGAATACTGAATGTTTTCAAATAGATTATTATAAATATTGTAACATTGTCTAATATTTATAAGAATTATATAAACTGAATTGCAGAGTTGAAATTATTTGCAAAGTATATTAGAACTATAGACAGAATTAAAAATAAAATCTGATATATTTCGATATACAAAAAACTAAAAAAAAAAAAAAATTGAACAAAATTTTTTTTTCCAAAATCAATTATTTTGTTAAGACAAGCAGAAAGTTCTTTGAATCATTTAAATCGGACGCTTAGTTCTCTCAAAAATTGCCATTTTTTACATATTTAGCTCCGTATCTTCAAAATGGCTGGGCCTGCCTTTGCCAAAAACTAACAAACACTTCTCCCAATCATTACTAATTGAATGTTTTTTAGATCATTCAAATCGGATACTCCATTCTCTCAAAAATTCGATTTCTATTTTCTGCACTCTTTGCTCCGTATCTCCGAAACCTGCTGAACCTGCCTTTGCCAAAAACTAATCAGCTCTTTTCCCTATCAATAGGAATCGAATGTTTTTTGAACCATTCAAATCGGTTGATCCGTACGCCCGAAAACGTGGACGAAAATTTGTATCCATACATACATACACACACACACACACACACACACACATCCATTTTTTCTGAGGTATGCCAAAACGTTCAGAAACCTTCAAAACGTCGAGAAATGTAAAAATTTTCAATTCCGATTTTCGGCCCATTACAATAACTTATCCTACGGGAAGTTAAAAAATATCTCTGTAATGTAAAATTTTACTCTCTTGTAAACAATCATTCCAGGACATTTGTATTTATTTTAGATTATTTAGACATTTATGTATAATTATATTGAAATACATATTAAAAGATCTCTCAATAGTAAAAATTGCTAATAAAATTTTCAAAGAAAAAGTTAGCGAAAGAAATGGTTTAGGCAAATGGGGATTTTTTTTTTTTTTTTTAGTTTTTTAAAAGAATATTTGGAGTTAAACGCAAAAAGTTTCGAATTAGTAAAGGAACTAAATTTTTATGTCGATATATATTTTATTTTTTTAATATTTTAGCTTATATTTAAGGTTACTTTACTATTTATATAAGAATGCGTTAATAAGTTAAATTTTGCCTATAAAATATTTAAGGTGGTCAAATCGAGTCATAAGTTAGAAACGTAAATCTAGGTGTTGATATTTGTTTTATTATTATGTTTTCAATTATTTTTATATAAATGTGTTAGGCTTTTTTGTAGCTTAGTTGTTACAGAAGTGGGCTTCCATTGGCCAACCATTGGGGTGCCTTCTGTAAGCCACATCATTAGGATCAGCACAAACTTATGGGACCATTGAGTTCTAATTGTTGTTAATAAAATGCATGGAAAATAATAAAATTGATTAAAGTTATTATTTTTTTTTCAGTTGGGTTTTTTCACGTACTACACAATAACGACCGGTGAAGCACAAGCTACGGGTCCCGTACCAATAGATTCAATATTCATCTACAGGCCCGATAAAAGGCACGAATTATGGAGGTTCCTCTTATATATGGTGTTACATGCGGGGTAAGTCAAAAAAAGTATATATATATATATATATATATATATATATTAAATTAAAAAGGTCCAACATAATTTTCCAAAAACTAGTAAAGTATATTTTTTAACCATACTATTTTAAAGTAGGGGGCAAAAGATGTGTAATCAGTAATAGTCTTAAATCGTGCTACATCGTTATCGCGTGATAAACGGCTACATAGTCAAATTCTGAAATAACATATTTTTGCTCATTGTTAATTTTTTAGGTTTTGAGCACTGTTGTTTAGTTTTTGATACTTGAATATAGTTTTCAAGTATACGTTATTTAATTGTTAACTTCCCGTAGGGTAAAATATAGTAATAAGCTAGAAATAGAAAATGAAAAGTTTTGCATATCTTCACGTTTCAGACGTTTCTGAACATTTTGGCATACCTAAGAAAAAATGGATATGTGTGTGAGTTTTGTATGTCTGCATTTTTCGTCCACATTTTCGGGTGCACGGATCAACCGATTTGAATGATTTAAAAAACATTCGCTTCCTATTGATAGGGAGATGTGCTGATTAGTTTTTGGCAAAGGCAGGTCCAGCAGTTACGGAGATAAAGAGCAAAGAGTACAGCGAATACAAATCGAGTTTTTGAGAGAATGTAGCTTACGATTTGAATGATCTAAAAAACATTCAATTTGTAATGATTGGGAGATGTGCTGATTAGTTTTTGGCAAAGGCAGATCCAGCCATTTCGAAGATACAGAGCTAAATGTGCAAAAAATGGCAGTTTTTGAGTGAAATAAGCGTCCGATTTGAATGATCTGAAAAACTTTCTGCTTGTATTGACAAAACAATTTCTTTTGAGGATAAAAAATTATTACATTTTTTTTTATTTTCCATAAAATATTTTTGTAATTTTGGATTAGAAATTCAAAAAATGGCCCAGACTAAACACAGCCTAAGCGCCACTCTGGTACAAATGTTTACCCAAGTGCGTTTAGACTGTTTATGCAATGGAACACTTTTCCAATTTTGTAGAAAACTATTGAAAAATGTGAAAATGCCGCCAAACTAAGCACAGTATGAGTGAAAATGTCGCACAGTATTATTTGCAAATGCGTTTAGACTGTGACTATACGGGAGCAGTTTTTCAATTTTGTGTAAATTATAGACTTTTTTTTAAAATTCAATTCGAAATGACATGACGATTGTTATTGTTCGTGGAGATAAATTGATTTATGATTTACAATTGATTTGTTCAGATATAACAGATAGCAAAAATAATGAAAGTTACAGTATTTGTAATAATATATTTGAAAACGTTTAAAATTTCTCGAATATTTCATTACGATACGGGAAGTTACAGCAATTTGCCTTAAGGCACGATGCCACACACCACTAGTTTTATAAGTTGTATTTATTAATTACTAAGACTCAAATTGAACCTTTATAAATAATCTTTCCCCCCCCCCCCCCCCCAGATGGTTGCACCTCTGTTTCAACCTGGCCGTCCAGCTGGCGGTGGGCCTTCCCCTCGAGATGGTGCACGGCTCTTCGAGAGTGGCCGCCGTCTACTTGGCCGGAGTCCTGGCCGGATCCGCCGGCAGTTCCGTCTTCGACCCGGAGGTGTGCCTCGTCGGGGCCAGCGGCGGCGTCTACGCCCTCCTGGCCGCCCATTTGGCGAACGTCATGCTCAATTATGCGAGCATGCAGCACGGAATAGCAAGGGTGCTACTCATATTTGCATTCGGTAAGGGGGTTGGTAATGGACAATTGGAAAGAGTAGAATTTTTTTTTATAACTTGTTGTAGAGCAAGTTATAGTAATCGCAAAAAAATCGAAAATGAACATTTTTATATATCTTTACGTTTCAAAGGTTTCTGAACATTTTGGCATATCTTAGAAAAAGTGGATGTGTGTGTGTGTGTGCGTGTGTGTGTGCGTGTGTGTGTGCGTGTGTGTGTGTGTGTGCGTGTGTGTCTGTATGTGCGGGTACAAATTTTTGTCGACGATTTGGGAAAGACGGATCAACCGATTTGGATAATTCAAAAAACATTCGATTCGATTGATAAGGATGTACCCATGAAATGCATATTTTGCATTGGTTGAATAATGTAGCTATTATTTTGTAAAATCCCTGTGAAATTAAAAATAAGACTTTGGACCTGTTTACCTCATAGCTGTCTCATTTTTTGGGGTAAAATAAACCAGGTGACAAGTTTTTGAAAAACAGCAAAAACAAACACATTTCTACATTGATGAAGTAGCTGAGAGTTTTACTGTATGCAATTTGTGATATAAATTGGTTTAATAATTAACTTTCCGTAGGGTAAGTTATAGTAATCGCAAAAAATTCGAAAATGAAAATTTTTATATATCTTTACGTTTCAGAGGTTTCTGAACATTTTGGCATACCTTAGAAAAAATGGATGTATGTGTGTGTGTGTGTGCGTGTATGTGTGTGCGGATACAAATTTTCGTCGACGATTTCGAGAACACGGATCAACCGATTTGAATAATTAAAAAAAAAATCGCTTCGTATTGATAAGGAGACGTGCTGATTAGTTTTTGGCAAAGGCAGGTCTAGCCGATCCGAAGATACGGGGCAAAAAGTGCCGAAAACGGTAACTCAGTTTTTAAGAGAACGGAGCGTCCGATTTGAATACAGTAGAACCTCGATTATCCGGACTAATTGTTGTCGATAGGCATCCGGATAATCGAAAATCCGGATAATCCAAATTATGAAGAATAATGTTTTGTTTATCAAAAATAACAAATGCATACATAGATATCAACAAAAATCGATGTTTATTAGAAAATTAACACTTACATATTTTCTTAGATTACATTATACATATTATATTAATCATGAGGTAAAATAATCAGGTGGTACGTACAGTATCAATGAAGAAGAAAAGTTGCTTACGAATAATTTGTTAATCGTTTTTGTAAAAACCAACAATATAGAGCTTCTTCTAAGAGTTCATTTTTCGGTCTCTTCACCATTTTCCGATTTTCACTACCCTCTTTACTATCTAACTTGCAAGTGTACGACAAAATTGAATCGGCATTCTTTATAGTGGATGTATCTACACCATACCTATCAGCTAATTTACGGCCGGTTTCGCCTTTTTTAATGATTCTATAATATTTATTTCATCTTTAAGGGATAACACCACCCTTTAAAAATGCATATATGCACGTCAAAACAGAGAATGTATTAATGTATATATGCACATCAGAATAAGCAAGTTCCGACCCGATTAGTCCGGATAATCGCGAATCCGTATAACCGAGGTCCGGATAATCGAGGTTCTACTGTATATCTTTACGTTTCAGAGATTTCTGAACATTTTGGCATACCTTAACAAAAATGGATGTATGTGTGTGTGTGTATGTATGTGCGTGTGTGTATGTATGTGCGGATACAAATTTTCGTCGACGAGATGAAGGGATTTGAATAATTCAAAAAAACATTCGCTTCGTATTGATAAGGAGACGTGCTGATTAGTTTTTGGCAAAAGCAGGTCTAGCCGTTTCGAAGATACGGGGCAAAAAGTGCCGAAAACGGTAACTCAGTTTTTAAGAGAACGGAGCGTCCGATTTGAATAATTCATAAAACATTTTACTTGTATTGACAAGATGAATAATTGATCAAATTTTCATGAAGGCAGGTCTAGCGGTTTCGGAGATCTAGTAAAAAAAGTAAAAAAAATGGCATTTGGCGTTTAAAAATGATCATTAGACATATGCACATCAAATTATCAGATATTTTATAGAGATTTTAACAATAAGTATAAATTTGGTTTACATTCCTACGGGTACCGTACCAATGTTTATCCGTTAGACAGCGACGCGGCGCTTACGCGCTTTATATTTTGTCTCTATGCAGTTAAAGCAGTACGATTGCTTTTAAAAAAAAGTTCAGAATTTCCAAAATATGTCAAAACGAAGAAAACATTTTTCTTTCCAAAAAAATTTTTTTATCAAAAAAAAAATAAATTTTTGTCAAATTTATAGTTTTTCAAAAATCTAATTTTTGGAAGTAAATTTTTTTCAAAAATGTTAATCGTTTTTAAAAAGATACTAATTTTTGGTACGGGAAGTTCCAGCAATTTGCCTTAAGGCACGATGCCTTAATTGCCTTAAGACAGAATTCCACCTACAGCTAGTTTTGGTTTGTATTTTTAATTGATGGTTTTTGTCTTTTTAGCATCGTGTGATGTCGGCTTTGCGGTTTATTCGAGATATGCCTCGACTGCGGGCAGTTTAGATGTTGAGGCTACGCCCCCTGTGTCGTATGTGGCACATTTAACGGGCGCTTTAGCTGGACTAACTATAGGTAAGTTTTTTTTTTATTAAACCGAAGGTTCGAAATTGATCACGTGACCGGATTTTAAAGGTCTATGGACCTTAGAGTGTTGGTCCCATGGGTTCAAATGGTTCCAAATTGATAAAAAACGATTCTCTGAAAGTTTTAGCTCTTAATATTAACGTGTAGATAGAGCGCAATTCAATCAAAGTTTTGTATGGAAATAGCATGAAAAAATTTTCTAAAAATTTTGCAGAGCGTCGAATTTTCAATGAAAAATGACACGAATTTCTACTTTTAATTCGTTTGTCGCTAAGTTATACCTAATTTTTTTTTTTAATTTTCAAAAAATTTTCCATGCTTTTTCATACGAAGTTTGATTGAATTGCGCACTATCTAAAAGTTAATATTAAGAGCTGAAACTTTCAGAGAATTGTTTTTTATCAATTTGGAACCATTTGAGCCCTTGAGAGCAAAGAAATTCGAAAATGTCCATATTAAGGACCACCCTAATAGACCTCTTCACCTTCACCTTTGGTGATAGTTAAAATTACCCAACAAATTATCGTATATTTTTTATTTGAAAAATGTTTTGCTTCGTTTTGTTTTAAATTTTTACTTTATACTGAATATATTTTGAAGGTTTAAAAATTATACGGGGTGTCCCAGAACTCAACGTCAAGCCCAATCGAGGTGATAATAAAAATGTTAGATATTTATTAAATAAATACACATAATATCTTACTAGCCTTTTTGTGATTTTTTGTCAAGCCCTTCCGCCCTTTAAATATATAATAATAATAATAATTTAATATAATATATTTTTGATTCATTTGAACAATATATAGGGTATCCCAGAACTCAACGCCAAGCCGGGATGGGGGAGATATATTTATATTCATATTTATATTTAATTAATATTTATATTTATATTTATATTTATTTATATTTATATTTATATTTATATTTATATTTATATTTATATTTATATTTATATTTATATTTATATTATATTTATATTTATATTTATATTTATATTTATATTTATATTTATATTTATATTTATATTTATATTTATATTTATATTTATTATTATACTAAAAATATTATATTAGTATTTGACTATACTAAGAAAAATATGCGGAGTGTCCCAGAACTCAACGTCAAGCCGAGATGGGGTGATTATATTAATTGTAACAACCCTAAAAAAATATATATGGGGTGTCCCAGAACTCAACGTCAAGCCGAAATGTAGTGATAATATTAATTGTAACTATCTTAAAAAAATGAGAAAAAAATATTCTACGTAGGTTGAAAATTATGAGCTTTTAAGTGCAATTGGAGCTTTTGTGAAAGTGATCATTGTTCGTTTATTGTGGTAAATTTTTATCAATTTTGTTTATTTAAACTTTGGAACCGTAACCGTGAATAACATTTGCCAAAATTGCCCCAAATTTTCGAAGAAATAAAAGTTTTTGTTGAACTGTGTATTCAAAATATTCAAAATTGTTTACTTTGAGAGGCCCTGCTTTAAAAAAAAGTTCTAAAGTGTCTTGGCGAGTTATACCAAAAGTTTGTGTATTTAATCAGGATTGTAAAATGGTAAAATACTTAGTAGGTTCATTATAGAAAAATTAGAGTAAAAAAATCAAAACCTAAAAATAACTCCATATTTGCTTCCCTTCACTTTATCCAAAATTCACAAATTCAACTTAAACTAATTAATTTAATTTTTAATACTATTACTGTTACTATTACCATGTTACTATTATTATGTTACCATTACCATTATTAATATTCTTTTCCCCCTCCAGGTCTGTTAGTGCTGAAAAACTTCGAACAGAAGCTCCACGAGCAGCTGCTCTGGTGGGTGGCCCTCGGGGTCTACGCAGCCTGCACACTATTCGCTCTGCTCTTCAACTTACTCAACACAGTCAAAGTTCAAAGTCTGGAAATGGAACTAATGTCTGATGGTCATCGATTTGGATTCGGAGACCCCTCTGATCCCAACGGGGGCTCGGTGCTGACCAAAAGGCTCTTTGCCAGCTACGGGGTTTGATAGTAATAATAATATTGATATCAATAAATTAATTGGATTGATTGATTAATTATGACCAGCAATGATATTTTATTTGTGCGAGAGGAGCTATATGAATTTTGTTACAAGAATATTGTTGGTTAACATGACTCGAAATAAAACCAAAGACTGAATTATAAACATGACATAATTTTAAGCTTGATTTGCTGAATGTATATATATATATATATATATATATATATTATTATATATATATATATAATATATATTTATTATATATATATATATATATAATTTAATTTCAAAAAGTATTCGGGACAAATACTTTTTGAAGCCAGGAGAATAAAATTAATTTAACTGGTTAAACGTAATTTTTTGAATATTTTTTATTTATACATAAATTTGTTATAAAAATAATTTATACATAATAGTCAGATGTTAATTAGTCATTACATATTTAATATGGTACGTGTTATATATTAATTATTATTAACATATATTAGGGTGGTCCTTAATATGGATTTTTCGAATTTCTTTGCTCCCAAGGGTTCAAATGCTTTCAAATTAATAAAAAAAAATTTTTTTTTAAGTTGTATCGCTTAATATTAACATTTAGATAGTTCGCAATTCAATTAAAAGTTTCGTATATTTATTATCTAAATTTTTTCGCCATCTGTGATAGCAGATTTGTAATTTTGATGGCAATTTATTACTATCGACATAACCAATTAAATAAATATTTTGATGCAAAATTAAACTCAAATAAATATTTCGTTAAACAATCCACATGGATTTAATTAGAGTTTAAGTGTTTTTAATTTGGAACAATTTGAGCCCTTGGGAGCAAAGAAATTCGAAAAAATCCATATTAAGGACCACTCTAATATATATATACATATATATATATATATATATATATATATATATATATATAGATATATATCAATATATATAGCTATGATATATATCAAACGGAGGCTTTTAATAAACCATATATATATATATATATATATATATATATATATATTTAATGGTTTTATTTAAGAAGCCTCCGTTTTTTATTTAATTTTTCATTTACATATGAATGAACATAAAATTATGAATTAATAAAATAAAAACTAATTATTATTATTTCTACGTTTCGGATGTAAAAAAAGTCCCCTTCTTCAGGAATTTTCAACTTAAACAAATAATAGTTTATACGTTATATACTTTTTTATAATTTAAAAATAGAAAAAATATATTTTTCACCACAGTAAAAATTAAATTTTGCTTTGTTTAATATCAAAATATTTAAATATTTAAATTTAATAATAAATTATGTATTTTACTGTACATTTATTTAATTTGTTTGAATTACGAAAGGTGAAAAGCTATTTTTTTTTATTTTTAAACGATTAAATAAAATAAATAAATGAAATTTCTAAACAATTATTAAAATAATGAAGTATATATATATATATATATATATATATATATATATATAAATGTACAAATTTTTGTTTGTTTTTAACATTTTTTTTGAAAAAACGTAGAAATAATTGTAAATGAAAAATTAAATAAACATATTTCAAATAATTTACAGCCCATTTGCCGAATTAAAAAGGGAGTTAAATGATATATAATTATTTATCATACGTTTTGACATTTTATGTGTGTCATCATTCAGCAGCCTAACTAGGAAAAATGTAAAAAAATAAAATTATGAAAAATTGTTTAATAATAACACACGTAACTAATAAATAATTAAAATAAAAAGTAAGAAATAGAACAAAGTAATAAATAATTGGAACAAACTTTGATTTTAAAAAAATAGGACATAGTAATTTAATTTTAATTGGGACAAAAACTAAAAAAATAAGATAAGTGTCTTAAGCAGAAGTGGGATGTTAATCGTAAACTGAAATTCATCCAAATTGTTCTCTTTTTTTTTAGTTTTTGTTCTAATTATTTATTAGTTCTGTGCGTTTTTATTAAACAATTATTAGTTCTTTGATTTTTCATGTTTTTCCTGGTTTGATTGCTGAATCATGACACATATTTAGTGTCAAAACGCATAATAATAATAAAGAATTGTTTCTATATTAACTTATTTTTAATTTGACAAATTGGATGCAAATTATTTCAAATATATATGTATATATATATGTATATATATACATATATATATATATATATATATATATATATATGTATATATATTTATGATTTCAAACAAGAAACCTCTGTTTTTTCGAAAACAATTTAATTTAATTTTTCATTTATATATAAATGAAATTACAAATATGAATTGATGAATTGAAAACTAATTATTATTATTTTTACATTTCGATGATATGGGATGCTCCTTCTTTTCTTTTTAAAAAAATTTCTATGTAAACAAAATTTTTATATACTTTTGAATTTTCCTTATTTATAAATAGGAGAAAAATTTATACATTTATATACTTTTATAATTATTTCAAAATTAAAAGATTTTTTAAACATAGAAAATATTTATCTGTATATAATAAATTCTTATAATATTTAAATACTTATATAAATATGCTTTTATAATTATTTAAAAATTATAAGAATTTTTTCTACGTTTATACACTTTTTATATTCATTTTAAAATTGATTTTATACATTTATACAGTTCTTTCAATTATTTGGAAAAATGCAATTAATTTTTTCTCTTTGAAGGATTGAAATTATAAATGTTTTAAAATAAACTAAATATTAAATAATAATCTATTTAAATATATGTTTAATATTGAATAATAACACATAATATTATATTTAATTAATGTCCATTTACTTATGCTTTTAACTTCAATTTTTCAAAGGTAAAAAGTGAATTTGTTTTATTTTTAATTAATTGAAAATGTGTATACGATAATTTTATAAGAAAGGGCATTCCATATATCTGAAATGTAGATGAAATATAAATGAAAAATTAAATAAATAAATATATATATATTACATCGGGCCTAAAAGCATTCCCATAAAAATATTATCATTAAGTTTATTATAACATCACCATTGTACATATACCTATATAAGAGTGTTTATTTGGAATTATCGTTTGATTTTCATTTTCTATATTATTGAATAGCATTAAATGTTTAATCAGTGATTCGGCGATGCTAGTCAGCAAAATAGAGTCTAAATGTAAAATATTTTCATTAAAAATTTATTAAGATGTAGTAGCTAGTTGTAATCGAAATATATGCAACAAGATTTATATTTATACTGAATTTAACAAACTGTTCTTCTATAGAAAACTGCATAAATACCAAAGATTTACAATTACATTACCAAAACTGCCTTTTTCTCTTTGCGCTGGGAGTTTTTTGATAAGTTCTCGATTAGATTTAAGATGAATGTACCAAAAAATTATTACTATATGAAATTTGTACCGGCCTATTATTACAAAATGGATAAGAAAAAGCATTAATTATGCACATGATAATAATGAAATATATGTAGATGATTTGAGGTATTTTTGTAATTGATTTAAATTTGTACTCATGAAATAAAATTCAATATGTTTCGAATATGAATTAGTAAGTTAATTACAGTACATTTTTGTGTAGAAACAATAAATACAAATCTCATGTAATGTGCATATTTAAATAAAAAGTATATTTTTGTTAAATGTTTGATTTTTCTTTTATTATTTTACAGGTTTATATAAATTATAGTATGTAAATTAAATATTTTATTTATATATAATTAAATATACAAATAAATGCCTTTAAAACAAATTCCTATAAGATTCCCATTGCACACCTATAATAAATTTGATTTCAAACCTCTAACTGCATATAATTTATATAACGATATATAAATCTATTATGTGAAATGCAAATCTTTGGATATATAACCGTGCATTCATGCTTCTAGACGCACTTCATATATACACGATATATATATATATATATATATATATATTATATATATATATATGAGATATAATATCATATATACACTCATATATACACCTCTATAATTATATGAGCGATATATAAATTCCTATAAGATTCTCATAGTCCACATGAGTCCTTTATAAATTTTACTTCGAACGCCTGGCTGTGTATGCAACCCAACACACTCCATATATACACGATATATAATTATATGAAACGCGGCCATGTATATATATAAATCTATTATAAATTTGTATGGACGATATATAAATGTGGACCGGGTTGGGAACGAGATATACTCGTTGTGCATGTATGAGTGCATTGAATATGTATGTAGTGGTGAAATCATGAATACGTGTGTAGTTTAGGGAGTCCATCGCCAGTTATATATCAGTATATTGAGAAATAATTGCGAGCACGGACAACTCCTTAACAATTTGAAGCTGACTGTACCAATTTTATTAAGGAGTCCATACCTGGCTTAATAAATATATGAATGTAAATAGCTATTATACACCTAGGTGTTAGGAGGATTTTATTGTTGTTTGATTAATGACTTATTTGACAATTTTAATTGATTAATTATTTAATTTTAAACAAATATGGCAAAATAAAATACTATAATAATTTAAAAAAAAAACATATAGTGTATGAGCAACAAAAGGATATATTCATAGACTTTATTCAAATCTTTATAAAATACAAATTAAATTATATACCAAGTTGATTTAAATACATTGAAAACAAATCCATGGATAGATATCTACGGATTTTCATATATACTTCTTATATACATATACACCTCTATGATTATATGAGCGATATATAAATTCCTATAAGATTCTCATAGCTCATGTGAGTCCTTTATAAATTTGACTTTAAACGCCTGGCTGTATATGCAACCCAACAAACTCCATATATACACAATATATAATTATAAGGAACCTCGCCATGTATATATATAAATCTATTATAAATTTGTACGGACGATATATAAATGTGGGCCGAGTTGAATTTGGCGCAGATTTTAGTTCCGCTCGAAGCCACCGAGTTTAGAGTAGCGCTAGCGTCTATGTCGTCCTAGGGAAAGAGATATACGCATTGTGTATGTGTGAGTGCATTGAATATGTATGTAGTGGTGAAATCATGAATACGTGTGTAGTTTAGGGAGTCCATCGCCAGTTATATATCAGTATATTGAGAGATATTTGCGAGCACGAACAACTCCTTAACAATTTTGAGGTGACTGTACCAATTTTATTAGGGAGTCCATGCCTTGCCTAATAAATGCATTATTTAATTTAGAAAAATAGACACAGTAATGACAGTTGAGAGAATTTCAATATTTCTCGAACACTAGGAGCACAGACGCCCCTTGTCAGTGTTAGGAAAAGTTGTCTAAGTAGATGTTAGGACTTATTTCCCATATTGAAATAAATAAAAAAACATCAAAAGCCTTGTTCAGAAATCTTTAATAAATATATTCAATATAGTGTTATATAATTATACATTATTTTTATAAATTAAACAAGTTTGTACATAGTAGTGTGCATATTATCACAAATTACACATCAGTGCCATTAATAAAGTTGATGCAAGTATCATTAACCCTTAAGGCAAGTTACACAACACCACAAAGTATTATTAGCATTATATTTAATTACATCTATTCTTTCTTAATTATATCACAAGTTTCTATTTTAATCCCATGGTTCTTAAGCATGTGAATCTTCAGTCTATACTTGATATGAAATCCCTTCTGGCAAATGGAGCACCCAAACGGCTTTTCACCCGAATGTGTCATCAAATGATACCTCAAAGCATCCTTTAGAACAAACTTCTTACCACAGACGTTGCATTCAAATTTCTTCTTCTCTGAATGAGCAAATAGGGTGTGGGTTTTTAAATGAGTGTGCTGGGTGAAATTCTTGGGACATAACTGTAAATTTAAAGATGGATGAAAGATAGTTGGATGTATGGTTGTAAATGTTTTAACTAACCTTGCATTGATAAGGCCTTTGTCCAGTGTGTGTGCGTTCGTGCATAACTAGTGCCAGTTTATGTTTGAATGTCTTTGGGCATGAAGAACAACTAAAAGGCTTCTCATCTTTATGTATCATTTCGTGGGATAATAAACCTGCTTTGAGATTGAAGGATTTTCCACAGAAAGAACATAGAAATTTATTCGTTAGATTTTCCTTTCTATCCTCAGTCTCATGTGGATTCTTATTGGTTTTTAGTGAAGTTTTTATTCGTTTTCTTGATATCATAGAAGAGGGCTTGCATAGATATTTATGTTTCCATAAATCGGTAACACGAGTTGTAGAATATTCACAAAATGGACATTTGTGCGGGTTGTCAGGGTCTGGATGCAGATCCATGTGGATTCTACTTAATAATAGAAACACTATTAGTAGAATAATGTTAGGTATATAACATTTTTGTACAATTTACTCTGTTTTCAGACAATTGACACAATTTTTAGTCAATTTACAACATTTTCAAGCAATTTACAACATTTTCAGTCAATGTACACCATTTTTAGTCAATTTACAACAGTTTTAGATGATTTAAAACATTTTCAGACTTTCCACATCATTTTTAGACAATTGACAACATTTTCAAGCAATGTACAACATTTTCAGTCAATGTACACCATTTTTAGTCAATTTATAACAGTTTTAGACGATTTAAAACATTTTCAGACTTTCCACATCATTTTTAGACAATTTACATCATTTTCAAGGAATTTACAACATTTTTAGATGATTTACAACATTTTCAGACAATGTAACAACATTTATTTAGTCAATTACAACATGTTAGACTTTACATCATGTTTTTAGTCAATTTACAATATTTTTAGTCAATTTAAAACATTTTTAGATGATTTAAAACATTTTCAGACAATTGACACGATTTTTAGTCAATTTACAACATTTTTAGTCAATTTACAACATTATTAGACGATTTAAAACATTTTCAGACAATTTACAACATTTTCAAGCAATTGATAACATTTTTAGATGATTAACAACATTTTCAGACAATGTACACCATTATTAGTTAATTTACAACATTTTTAGACTTTCTACATCATTTTTAGTCAATTTAAAACATTTTTAGATGATTTAAAACATTTTCAGACAATTGACACATTTTTAGTCAATTTACAACATTTTTACTCAATTTACAACATTATTAGACGATTTAAAACATTTTCTGTCAAGTTACAACATTTTTAAGCAATTGATAACATTTTCAGAGCATTCACATCATTTTCAGACCGTACACAACATTTTCAGACTTCCTACATCATTTTTAGTCAATTTACAACATTTTTAGACTATTTAAAACATTTTCAGACAATTGACACCATTTTTAGTGAATTTTCAACATTTGTAGAACGTACACAACATTTTAAGACTTTCTACATCATTTTTAGACAACTTGCAACATTTTCAAACAACTTTCTACATTTTTAGACATTCGACAACATTTTCAGACAACTCAAGCTAAACACATTTGATAATCTAATATAAATTACAAAATATGTTTCAATACTTCAGTTGTCCTGATTGTGAATAAGATTTCCCACAAATCTTGCACCGATAAGGCTTTACACCTGCATGAATCAGCTTATGTCTTTTTAAATTCCCTTGCGATAACATTTTATGGCAAATATCACACTCCACTACATTTGCACCTGTGTGACAATCCATGTGCGCAATTAATTTACTGCGACACTTGAAATCTTTACCACAAATCTATAAATGAAATAATAATCAACAAAAATTATATAATTAAAAATAACAGTAAATGAGATCTTGGCATATAAAGTCTTACATGGCATATGAAGTCTGTTTTGGAGAAATGAGTTGCATTTGTGCCTTTTATATATTTATTAGCTTTGTGCAATTCTTTCGCAAATTATCAATGGCAGCATTATCAATAAATTCAACTTCTTTATAATAATGTGGGGCTTCATTACTTGTTACTTGTTTTACCTAAAATATATTTAAGCTATTGCAAGACTAATTTCTACTTAATTGAATGTTTGTGCTCCATTTTATATTTATATTTACATTTACCACGGAGCATCTCAGACAACTTGCAGATTTCAAATCAATTTTCTCCAACGTTCCACAACCTTCACATAAGTCTTCCAAAGTCTTTTTACCATGCACCTGTCGTCTATGTTTTATCAACAACAACCTGTTTTATATTCTTTTCCACAAATAACACACATAAATTGTCTTCCTAAATACTTTTTAATTACAATCTTGCGTGGATGCAGACGATGTTTATGTTTCCACAAATTAATAATGTTTGAGGCTTGAAAATCACAATGGGTGCATTTATGTGTGGAACTTGTATGCGAATCCATGTGTATTCTGGGTAAAAAAATTGGTTTAGAGTGAATAGGTCAAAATATATATAATACTAAATGTCAGAGTCACCTTAGCTGTCCGATTTTATAATAATATTTACCGCATATTGTGCAAGCATGGGTGTAATTAAAATCTGCTGATAATTGTTGTTTTGTATAGATTTTATTCTTAGTATTATATCTTTTTGCACAAATTTGTAGGTTAGTCTGCAATTTGAATAAATAATTTGCTTAAGCAAGATATTTATAAAAAAAATCACACCAAGGCAATTTATTTAGGGCTTATTTAAGAATATGTAACTTATTTTGATATATTTGTTAAATCTTACCGAGTTCTGTAGATAATCATTCGAATCTTTGCACATTTTTTTAAACTCAAAGGCATCCTTAAGACGTTTTCTACATTTGCTGCAGATCTTTTTAGATAGTTTATCCTGTTGGGATATCTAAAATTATTAAAAACAACAAATAAATTATTCACTAGAAACCATTAATATTTGTAATTTGTTCAAAAATACTTCAATTTCAGTACATTCTATCAAGGCTCTATATATGATAGAATTCCTGTTTGTTATTGATATTAGATGCGAAAATGTTTGTAGACAAAGTCTGCAGTAATTTAAACTATCCATTATTTGTGTAATTAATTAATTAGCGATTTTTAGTTGTTTATTTACTTTTTAACTGTTTATTTTTGTGTTTGACATTACAAGTCCATGGAGTAGACACACAGATTGGAAACTACGTATAAGAAACCGCAAAGGGTATATCTATACCTATTCACATCTATGGTGTCCATTTTGACAGACGTCAAATTTAAATAAATGATCTTCAATGTTATTATTTTAAAATACATAATTTTAAATAAAGTTTAGTTGTACTTATGTCAAAAAATAAATATTTAAGCATTTTTTAATTAATTAAACTGTGTTTTACCATGAAGAATTTGTACAACAAAGTTTGCAGACTGTGTTTGCAAATATCCAATAAAATGTTATCAGTATTTGAAGATGCCAATATAATTACTGCTATAACATCTTGTACTAACATCCAGGTACTGCTATAAATTATATCATTTATTTCCTTCATTAATAATTCCTTTTTCAAGATCTCGAGCGATGATGGATATCCTGGTAATATATGTCACCTTTGTATTCAACGCTTGAATGATGCTTACTCCTTCAAACAACAATGTGAGACATCAGATTTAATTTTGAAAGATAAAATATTTATCAGTAAAATTGATGAACAATTTGAAGTTATTTATGAAACTGAAGATAATCTTGAATGTTACACTCAATTGGAGTATATTAATGCTGATGATAAAAGCAATACTGCAATAAAGAATGAATCAGATGTGAAAGTTGAATATGAGACCGATTATGAAGATGATTGTGTACAGGATGACTTTGTGCGAAACTGCGCACTTTGTGAACAGACTTTTTCGTCTATTAATAGTTATGAAAATCATAGCTGTTTTTCTGAATACTCAAAATGTAAAACTGAGGTAACTGAATTGTATTTTTATCGATCTTCAGATAACTAGAGATTTCAGATGCATTCTTTACTCAGGATGAAACCACTCTTGCCGGCCAGGAAAATTCTGCAGATCAAGATATAAAAAGTTGTGATTCTCTTAAAAGAGTAAAATGTGATATATGTTTTAAAACATTTGCTACAAATGGAAATTTAAATAAGCATATGAAAATTCATTGTAATATCAGACCATACAAGTGCCCCAAATGCAATAAATCTTTTATACAATCAAACACATTAAAGTAAGATGATTAAAAATATACAATGTAATTGCTTGAATTGTTTATCACCTGTTTTGTTTCAGGTATCACATGGATATCCATCTTCCACCCAACTCTACACCTCACGCATGTGACCAATGTGATTTTTCAACTCGAAGATTAGCTGCCTTGGAAAAGCACATAGCTTTAACTCACAAAGAAGTTATTCCTCAACGTTATCTCAAAGAGTGTATACCAGTCTCATGTACAATTTGCAACAAAGTTCTTGGTTCTGAAAAATCATTAGTTCATCATATGAAAATTCATCAAAATATCAGAGAATATATATGTAAATACTGTGGAAAAGATTTTGTATACAAATGTGGTTTAGAATCACATGAACGAATACACAGAAGTGAAAAGCCTTTCACATGTAAATATTGTAATAAATCATTCAAACAAAAAATGGGGCTACATGTACATAAGCGCTTACACACAGGGGAAAAGCCTTATCAATGTCAGGTAATAAGTATTAAATAATTTGCTTATAATAAATATATATTTAAATTATTTATTTCTAGATATGCAGCAAAACATTCAACCAAGTTGCACATTTGCATTCTCATTTATTGACTCACACGGGAGAGAAAAAGTTTGAATGTAATGTTTGCCACAAAAGATTTGCTTTGAGCGAAGGTTTGAGATATCATAAAATGATACATACAGGAGAATTACCGCACTGTTGTTCAATATGCAATCGGGGCTTCAAAATAGCTTATAAATTAAAACTTCATATGCGAAGATGTCATCAAACTCAAAATATATCATAAAAGGAAAAAGAAACTCAATTTATAATTGATTATATATGTTGGAGATTATTGTGATGAATGAGTGTAATATATATTGTATAAATTTTATTATTAAAATCTGGTGTTTTAATGCGATTTTTTCAGATTGTAATTATAATTTCATAAATCATGTGATTAAATTTTGGCAATACACTGTATTTTCGCAACTTTGATTTAATCAATGTGCCCTTTGTAAATCAAATATTTGGATCAGAATATGTAGGTATGCAAGTCAAAGAATATTGTACAAATGAACATTTATAATTAAGAATATAGATGAAATTAATGGATATGTATGTATTTCATTTAATATTAATATTAATAATTAATTTCGTTTTCAATGGTTAAATATTAATGTAAATTTAAATTTCGCGCCTTTAATTTCCTGTTTCAATATCAGTGACCTCGGCCATCTTGTGAAGATAACTGTCAAACTGTCAAAAGAGATCTTTGTGAAATTATGTACACGTGCTCCCGTTAATTAATAGTTTTTTAATTAAATCCTTAATTAGATTTAATTAATTTATGCATCAGATCGTGTAATTAATTTAGTAGAATAATCTGATATAAAAAATATACCGCGAAATGATCTTAAAAAACTACAAAATAAGTACGTGTCGGTGTACTTAGGTTAACCTTCAATAATTATAATTATCTTTTACAGGGTATATTAATTTTATAATTAAACATTTTATCCACAGCGATTCCAAAGTATCCTTTACATATATATGTTTGTGCAATGTATAATTTCTATATGTATGCTGTTGAAGGTTATACCTAAATACTTTTGCATAATATATCAAATTCTAATTCACAAAAGTCTCTGATGTGTTCGTCGCGTAGTGTCGTGTGTTGAGTCACAAAGACTCCACTTGGACATTTGCAAATTATAAATTAAATGTATAAAATCAGTGATCAAAGTAGTGTGGTGTAGTGATTCACAAGTGTTCAGCTTCGGGGCTTCTACAGATGCTCTAGAGAGGGTTTGTTTTGTGGAGGAGATTTGGATTTAATTCTATGCAACATGTGGAAACTTCAATGTGAGTCCAAGCAAACTTTATACACAGCGTGTCAATAAATATTTTTCTGAAATTACATACAGGCATTTATCATACAACGAATAAACTAAACATAAACAGTTCTAACACATATAACAAATAATTTTTTGTATTTGTATTGTATAAATCAAAACAGCCTGTATGTATTTCAGTGAATATTTGCTGACTCGTGCACCATTAGTATTTTATGCATATGCATCTGCTAAATGTTTATTTATTTATTTAAAACAATTGCATAGTGATATTATTGATACAGACGCTCATGCCTAAAGCTTAAATTCATTCATTTATGTTATGGTTTATATATTAGTTAATTTAGTTAATGAAGGTTTACATTTGACGTGGCTATATTTACTATATAGTACTAATATTAACTATATTTTGTCATAGTTTTTGCAATTCTAAAAACGAATAAAGTACAGTTTACTCTTTGTTTGCATAAATCACTACTTTCGCAGATGTTTGTGCAATAAAATCGAATATCACTTGCAATTTTGTGATATCAATCTGATGTATCAGACAAACTTTGTTTAATTATTATTATTTGCAAGTGATGTTCAATAAACATAAAAATGGTTTAATACAATTCAACTATGGGGAAAACATCTTGATTCAACTTTTCAGCAAGTGTGTTTTATAATTTTTTTAAATATATATAATGCAATAGTTTTCACTTTTTTTATATATTGAAATTAATTTGTTTTTTAAGACTATGAGTAAAGGTTTGTCGAGTTCTTGTTATAAAAGTAATGGGTCTTGATTTGGTTTCATTTATTTGTTGAGCCACCATTTGAGTGCTGAGGTATATTGTTGTTAATTTGCTACTCTGATGACTCCCGTATCTTTAGTACTTGTTTTGTTTGAATATCATTTGTGTATAAGATATTCAGAAGGGGACCTGGCATACACCCTTGAGAAACTCCTAAATTAATGGTATTTCAGATAGAACTCTAGATCTGAAGAGTTGGTATATCAGATAGTATCTCAACAACAAATATATCTCACGTTAACAAATTTTTTTTTATTTTATAAATGAAAAGTTATTTTATTACAATTTGATGTTGTTGTATATTTCACAGTAAAGAATTCTAGAATTACATTTCTATTATCAAGAGTCATGTGTTTTCCCTGTAGCGATATTGACTGCATGCACATTCTCATTGATGACAACACGATTGCTGGTTTTGATCAAAATAATTACGAATTTCCAAACTGTTAATTAAATGCAACTTTTATAAGTCTTTCATTGTAATTTAGTAATTTTGTTTTCAATTTATGTGATGATACTGCTACATTGCTAAATATAGCTTTTTATTATTTCATTGCTAAAAACAATTTCGATCAAGACATGCAATCAATGATGATGTAGTTTGATTAAAGTTTCGAAGAGTTGACTTGAATGATTAGACAAAACATAATTTTGTGTACAAGTTTATTATTCGATTCAAGTTGTAAAATTTATTTAAATCAATTTCTAAAGGATAACAATCAGCTTTAAATAGTTTTGAAATTTTAAATGTTCATTTTGAATATTTTTTATTATTTCATTTTACAACTTTTATTTAATTTTTTTTATGGCTTTTTCTAATAATTTGTATATTATTCAAGTCAACTGTATTTGTTTGTGTCTCGATTAATTGTAAAGGTTTCACATGTTTTATCAAGTCATATAAACAATTTTGATTCGTTTAAAATCATTTCATTTCATCGATTAATAATTCATTCGAATATTTTTTTTTCTAAGTCCAAATTTTCTGATTATAATTCTCTCGAATAATTTTTTTTTTTTTCTAAGTCCTTTCAGATATATTTTTTTTTCTAAGTCCAAATTTTCTGAAACCTTTTCGATTAAGAGAGACGAGTTATTTTTGCATGCTATATCATCCCAAAGCCAACATTCGAATGAATGAGGCTCACATTGAATATTTCACAACGAGAAAATTTTATCGAGGCAAAGTTAAATATTTTAACTTAGTCCCAGTAATTTTTTCTCGTTGTGAAAATTTCAACGTGGACTTCATTTCATTCGAGTGTTGGCTTTGGGAATTGGTGTGAGGGAACACTAAAAAACATAAAAAAGTTTCAACGCTGAACAGAAAAGAGAAAAATTGATCTGGGACTTAGGGGGGTTTTTTTAGGTCCTTCCCCTCCCCTTCCTCCTCCTCCTCCTTCTTTTTTCCCATTTTTCCGCTTTTTTTCACATTTTTTTTCCTTTTTTGGTGTTTTTTTCGCATGTTGTGGTTTTTGGGTAGATTTTTGGGTTCGGCATGCATCTTCTGCAATGTGTAACCTCTCGCATCATGGACCTCTGGTTGACCATCACTTCGTGTGTTCGTTTCAGGACCCTTTGCGCTCGCCAACAGCCAGCCACCAGCCAGCCACCAGCACTGCTCCATTTTTTCTGCTTCAGAGTTGCTCGTCGTCGCCTTCAGCCGGATTTGATCCTGCTCACCTTGTGCCTGCCTCCAGAGCGATTTCACCGAGTATGCGGTCCCTTAAACCACTCGGCTATTTAAGTTATTGATGATAAAAGTTATTTTTATTCCTATATTGTATTAATATTGAATTTTAATAAAGAATATATATCATACTCATCTCTCTTATTCATCATCTGCCTCTACCCCTCTCTTTCCCCAGTGCTTCCTCTTTTTTTTTTCTTTTTTTTTTCTCTTTATATATCTCTCTTACAGTCAAGTGCGAAACTTGAGTTTTTTGTTTTTCAGAAATATTCTAAGTGTCAAGGTCGAAATGCGACACCTGAATTTAATATTTTGAACTAATATTTGATAATTATGAAAAACTATACATTCGATTTTTCAAGCACCATGGGGATTTGAACCGAGAAACAATGAACAACCGTAGTGGCAACTTAACGATCTCGGCCATTTGGTTACATGAAACCGTAGTCTTTTGTAAAAATATAAAGTGTTATTTTCAAACTGAAAGATATAAGTTTCCTAAAAATGTTGTATGCCAAATGTGCGAATGGCCGAGGTCGTAAAGATACGGTTTAGGCCAGAATATCAATTCGAAGTTCGCCAGTTCGAACCCCATTTGACTGAAAAAAATATTTGAAATCAATAATTTTTCAAACTGTGTAAATAAATAAGAGATATAGATAGAATTAAATTTATTGAGTGTCAGTATTACAAAAATCGACATAATATATATATATATATATACACGCATATATATATACGCGTGTATATATATATATATATATATATATATATACACGCATATATATATATATATATATATATATAAAAGATAAGAAAAAGTAGGAGGATAATTTTTAATAAATTCATATTTACGCCTGGTTAGCAGTAAACCAAACCTACTTTGGTGTAATTTAAAAATCTTATTATTTTTCCGATAAAAAGACAGTCTATCAGGAGCAGCCAAAATTGGCCAAAATCGTGACTTTCAAATGCAATTTTAAGGCACTTAATGAATGAAATTAATAATTTTAATTAATGCTTTGGGTAGACTAAGGTACAATCTTTACACCAAACCAAAAAAAATACAAATTTATCATCGTCTTCATAGTTAAAATCAGCTTCAAAGTTGGCATTTTTTCAAACTTCAATTTGGTACCAAGGGCAGAAGATTTTTTTTTTCCAAAAACTGATTCCATATTCGGAATCAGCGCCTCAAAAACTATCAGAATCAGTTAAAATATTTGGAAAATCGCGAAAAAAAAGTTCATTTCATTAGTAAAATTTTGATTTTGCAACCAAAGATTTCGATTTTTCGCGGGGTGTATGTGGATTTATCCAAAAACGGATAGCATTTTTGAAATCAGCGTCCCAAAATCTTCTATAATCAGTCAAAATAATTTGAAAATCGCAAAACGAAATCCATTTTTTTATAAAATTTCAAAGTTGTAACCAAAGATTTCGATTTTTTGCGGGGTGTATGTAGATTCACCC